TTCCTCTGCTCTCACACTACAATGATTAACACAGAAAACTTCTGTGAGCCCACACACAAGCAACCAATTCTGCAGCAGACACCAGCTGGGTGTCCTGCAATGCAATTCCAACACTATCTACCTGGAGATAGCATCATATCCCACAGGTTGAGAGCTAAGTCCCAAAAGACTGCTCCTCTATCACACCTCTGCCAGACACCAGATGCCAGACTGGGCCTCCAGAACTTCTGATTAACTGGCTTCATGTTGGTGTTCCCACAACCCCTCTTTGGTTTGAATTAACTTGCTAGACTGGCTCACAGAACCCAGAAACACATTTCCTGGTTTATTGTAAGCCTATTTCAAATGATTCAAGAGGAAGAGACGCATAGTATAAGATATGGAGAAGGGACATCCAACTTCTGTGCTCTTGGGCACTGCACCCACCAGGACCTCATTTGGCTATCCAGAATTCTCCAAACCCTGTCCTCTTGGGTTTTTAATGGAGGCTTCATTAGCAGGTATAGTTGATCAAATCACTGGCCATGGCGATCAACTTAACCTTCAAGCCTCCTTCCCTACCCAGAGGCTAGGAAGGGGGAAAATCCCAACCCTCTAATCCTGTCTTGGTCTTTCCATGACCAAGGTCCCTAGAGACTTCCAGCCATAAGTTAACTCCTTATAGCACACAAAAAGACACCACTGTGGAGTTTCTAAGGATTTTGGGAGTTGTATGCCAGGAAATGGGGAGAAGACCAATATATGTATTTCACAACATCACACTTTCCAATGGGAAATACATTGTTCATAAACATGTGCTCTATTTTCTAACATTATGAACTACAATTTTACCAGCCCACACATGGTTAATAACATCGCAAATGCATGTCTAGGCTGTTCGAGGAAGCAATATCTTGGCCTCACATTAAAAGATGTACTTTACTGCCAGGCACGGTGGCTCAAGCCTGTAATCCCAGCACTTTGGGAGGCCGAGGCAGGTGGATCACGAGGTCAAGAGATCGAGACCATCCTGGTCAACACAGTGAAACCCCGTCTCTACTAAAAATACAAAACATTAGCTGGGTATGGTGGCGCGTGCCTGTAATTCCAGCTACTCAGGAGGTTGAGGCAGGAGAATTGCCTGAACCCGGGAGGCGGAGGTTGCGGTGAGCCAAGATCGCGCCATTGCACTCCAGCCTGGGTAGCAAGAGTGAAACTCCGCCTCAAAAAAAAAAAGATGTACCTTATTAATTTATTCTTATTTCCAAAATAGTTTTAAACTCAGAAACTAGATACGGTGGCTCATGCCTGTAATCCCAGCACTTTGGGAGGCCAAAGCAGGTAGGATCATGAGGTTAAGAGATCAAGACCATCCTGGCCAACATGGTGAGACCCCATCTCTACTAAAAATACAAAAATTAGCTGGGCATGGTGGCACATGGCTGTAGTCCCAGCTACTTGGGAGGCTGAGGCAGGAGAATTGCTTGAACCCCGGAGGTAGAGGTTGCAGTGAACCGAGATAGTACCACGGTTCTCCAGCCTGGTCAACAGAGCAAGAAAAAAAAAAGACCACATATTGTTAAATCAGCAGATTCAACAACAAATTCTACATTCAGGAAATATAAACACACAAAATGTAATAGACTACTAAAAAACTGAGATGGCTTTCACTTTTAGAAAGCAAACTTTAAGCCACAATTTAGAAAAGGAAGTTTTTATATCCTAGTCAGCCTCACTTGAACAGTGCCTGAAGATAAAGATACCCCAAATTATGAACCTGAGAAAAGCTCACAATGTTACAAACTTAAGTCCAAAAAACATCACTGCTCTGTTAATTAAAATAGTCATTCTTTTCATTGGCTGATAAGATGCTCTACAATAGCCTAGTCTATCTTCCTCCTTTTTTTTTTTTGACACGTTTTAGGCAAAAAAAAAAAAAAAAGGAGACAGGGTCTCCCTCTGTTGCCTAGGCTCAAGCGCAGTGGCATGAACATAGCTTAGTGCAACCTCAATCTTCAGGTGTCAAGCAATCCTCCTGTCCCAGCCTCCCAAGTAGCTGGGACTATAACCCTGTGCCATCACACCCAGCTAATTTGTTTATTACTTATTTATTCATTTGAGATGGAGTCTCACCCTGTCACCCAGGCTGGAGTGCAGTGACACGATCTCGGCTCACTGCAAATTTCGCCTCCTGGGTTTTAGTGATTCTCCTGCCTCAACCTCCTGAGTAGCTGAGATTACAGGCGTGCACTACCATATCCGGCTAATTTTTGCATTTTTAGTAGAGACAGAGTTTCACCAGGTTGGCCAGGCTGGTCTCAAACTCCTGACCTCAAGTGATCTGCCACCTCTACCTCCCAAAATGCTAGGATTACATGTGTCAGCCACCACACTTGGCCTTTTTATTTTTGTAGAGACAAGGTCTGGCTATGCTGCCAAAGCTGGTCTTGAACTCCTGGCCTGAAGTGATCCACCCGCCTCGGCCTCCCAAAGTGCTGGGATTACAGGTGTGAGCCACCACGCCCGGCAATTTTTCTATTTTTAGTAGAGACGGGGTTTCACCATGTTGGCCAGGTTGGTCTCTGGTCTCGAACTCCTGACCTCAGGTGATCCACCCACCTTGGCCTACCAAAGGGCTGCAATTATAGGCGTGAGCCACTGTGCCCAGCCTGCTTCTCCATCTAATAGGGCAACCCTAGATAGTACAGAAGGAACAAATGGAAGGAAAATCAGCATCCTGTTTATTCCTTTAGCAGGTCTCATTACCCAAGAGGTGGGTTTTCACGATTCATCAGTCAGAGAAGGCAATGAAGGGAATCACAACAAACATCAGACACCAAAACAAAATATAAACCCTATAGCATGAATATGTGTCTACTTAGTTCCCCAAAAAGAAGTTACAAAACTGCTTTAATATAATTCTCCCCACGCAGTGTAAACCAGTTTTTCGCAGTGTGGTCTTTGAGTCACCTGTATCTGAACATAAGGAGCTTAACTGGGCCCACCAAATCTGCAGTTTTACCAGGTCATTCTCATGCTCAGTATTTGGAAGTACTTCCCACAGTAGCTAAAAATTTTCGCCTCAAGCAAGTGAATCTTGAACACAAAAGATCAAACTTATGCTTGGTCTTAGAAGGAAGAAACAATTAATAGAACATAAATAATTCAGTAAAGCACAGTGGTCCACAGCAAAAGCTATGAAGCTAGAAATCCTGAGTTTACATTTCTATTTCGCAACGCACTAGCCATTTGACACTGGGCAAATGTGACCCAGTTTTCTCATCTGTATAATAGAATACTACCACCTACCTCAGAGCCATGAGACTAACAAGTTATCAAAGCTCTTAAAAGGCTGCCAGGCCAGGCACAATGACTCACATCTATACTCTTGGCACTTTGGGAGACCGAGGTGGGAAGATCACTTGAGACCAGGAGGAGTTCAAGACCAGCCTGGGCAACATAACAAGATCCCATCTCTATTAAAAAAAATTTAAAAATAAAAAATCAGCCTGGCATAGTGGCACCTGCCTTTAGTCCCAGCTATGCAGGAGGCTGAAGCAGGAGGATAGCTTGAGCCCAGAAGGTTAAGGCCACAATGAGCCATGATCATGCCACTGCACTCCAGCATGGGCAACAGAACAAGACGCTGTCTCAAACTAAAAAAACAAACAAAAAACAAACCAAAAAAACCCTTGTGGCTAATGGCTGTGATTCTCATTTGCTGAATCTTTGGAATTTACATCCATTTCCAATGATGTAATACAAAACCATGAAGGATCTCATATTTTGCATTGCTTCAAACTCAGGTTCTTCTCAAGTAAAACAAAACTAGGTGACTGACTTTGAAAATGGCACAGGTTAAGAATCTGTTTCCCAAATCTGTTGCAAGAAGATGGAAAAACACAAAAGAATTGAAAACTCCCAAACTTTTCACAGCAAAATAGAACTGCGATTAATCATCCATATTAGAGAAAATTCAAAAAAGCAATTGGGTGATTGGGCAAAGGTACAAGACTATCCAATAAAGACCTCACACACATCTTGCCATTTTCCCTCCCTCTCACAATCTGCATTTACACAAGTCAATTTCCTGAAATAGGAATCTGGCAACATCCACCAAAAAGTCCAACCATATGTAAAATGGCATCACACTGTAAAGCTCATATTACAGTATCAGGACAATTGATGCTTTTAACAGTAGCAATGGCTGCCAGGCAGCGGTCCTGAATTGAAGACCTGTAAAAGGGAGGAAATAACACAACACAGAAAAAGAAACCTGATAATAAAATAGAGAAACGGATTCTCTGGGAAGAGCGTACACAACTCCCAAGGCAAAATTCAGAAAAATGTTGTTTTCCCTCAAAACAAAGAGCCTTAATGGCCAGAATGCCAGAGTTCTGAATCGTGAGTACCCTCAAACAGAAATAAGGAAAACGGGGAGGATATGTGGGTGAGAGATGACCCGGATTATCATGGGAAGAACAGCAGCCAAAGCTTAGAGGTACACGGAATACAGTTTCAGGCCTGGTGCAACTCAGGGGGCAGCTAACCATTTTCCAGTAAGCCCGAAATTGAAGAATAAAAGGGACTTAAAGCATTAGAGAGCAGCTCTTTGGCAACCCACGGAAGACAGACATTGGGGATTCAAAGGATCTGGGGGGAGGGGAGGTGGAAATGAGTCAAAAGCAGCCTTCTCGAAGATAAAAATCATGTGATGCTGGGGAAAAGAATGCCCGAGGAGCTAAGATAAGGGAGCACGGGTCCTGAGAAAAAGCCCACCACTTCAACAAGCGGGAAGGGTAGACCAATGGGCGCGGGTCCCCCAAAGGTGCTGTTTTCGGGGGACCCGAGGCCTCCGAGCCGGGTGTCAAGCCACGCACCAACGAGAGACCACAGTACAGGGACAGTGTCCGCGCGCGGGAAAAACTGCGGCCAGGCCGGAAGGGGGTAGGGCAGGGCAGGGCAGGGCGGGCCGGAAGGGGGGCAGGGCGGGCCTGGAGAGCGCCCCACGGGACACTTACGCGGCCGCTTTTTCCTCAGGCTTTCGACGCGCTGACGGGTGACCGCCGTGGGGCCGCTGTAGGAGCCCAGCCGGTCCCGCCTCGCGCCCTCCGCCGAGGCCCCGACCGCGGGCACCGACGCGCTGCTCGCCCGGCGCCGCAGTGGCTCCCGCCGCCGCCCTTCGGGGCCCCCCGCCGCCTGCTCCCCTGCCGACGAGGCGGAGGTGGCGGAGGCGACGGAGGCCCTGCCGTGGCGCTCCATGGGCGCGCCAAGCCGGCCCGCTCCCATCCGCAGCAGCCACCGCTGCCGCCCGAGCCAGCCCCCCAGAGTCTGACTCCTCCTTTCCTCCTCCACGGTAGTCCAGACGGAGCAGAGGCGCGCCCTCGGCCGGCCGCCTCTTCCGTTGCGCCAACGCGCAGGAAGCCAATGCGACGAGGCTGGGGGCGGCCCGAAGGCCTCGCGTCCAATCGGCTCCCTAACTCGAGGAGGATTGACCGTATCTCTGTCCAATCAGAGGCTCCCGTGACGGGGCGGGAGGTGTTGGAGGAGGGGATCCGGGTTCCGCGGAGGAGGAGAAGGCGGTGTAGCCGAAAAGAGAGTGATGGCGGCGCCGCCCAATGGACACGTGGGTGGAAGGGCCCGCGCCTCCTCATCCACCCCGCCATCAGCTACCCCGGTCCATGGGTCTGCCCCCCCGGGCCGCGGAACTCTCCTGGGGCGACCCCGAGTCCCATCCCGCTGCTCCGTGCAGTCCTCGTTGATCGAGCCCTCCTCCAGCTCAGTAGTGCTTCCGCAGCGCCTGGCCGCCGGTTGTCTGCAGACCAACGGGCTTGAATCGCGGCTGACATTAGCCTTTGTCCGTCGGCCTTGTTCCTCAGCTGCCGTGGAGGCCACCAGCCCCTCCCCCAGCATGTTTGGGCTAAGCCGCCTCCTTTCCGCCTGCGTTGGATGGAGACGTTCCTGGTACCAGAAGGAATGAAAGGACTGGGGCTGGTCTCCATGGCAACTGATAGAAAGGTGGGTTATACTGTAAATCCTTCGCCACCCTCCTGTGGCGAAGGAGGGGAAGTGGGAGCCGGCGAGTAGAGTTGGCCTTTTGCGGGAGAGTCTGGAGACCCTTTCTGAGTGATAAACTGGGGGACATAGAAGGATTTGACTGCCACTGTGAAGCCTGGATTTTTTTTTTTTTTTTTTTTTTTTTAGCATCGTCTGCCCTTCTCTTTTGGAGAGAAAACTTGGTCATCTCAAGGCCTGAGACCCTGACCTTTCCAAGCATCCCCACTACCAAAGGCTGCCCAAACCCGGAAAGATCCCACCCCGTTCTGTACTCCCGGGTCACTTCCTCACTCCATCGAGTTTAAGGACTGTGGGCTAATTAAAAGTGCCTCCCTATTAGCCGGGCGTGGTGGCACATGCCTGTAATCCCAGCTACTAAGGAGTCTGAGGCAAGAGAATCTCTTCAACGCGGGAGGTGGAGATTGCAGTAAAAAGGAGTGCTCCGCGGGGAGACTGTAATGCCCCTCGGGCAGTGACCCTTATTTTCTTCCCCTCTCCCGTATGATTGGTTGTACCGGGCTGAACAAAAAGGTTAAGCTTCACTTGTGTTTGTTGAAAAGAATTCCCATGCCCACTCCATGTTAGCTCCCCTCACTGTAGGCCTAGCTCTGGAAATTCCAGCACCTGCAGGAAGCCAACCCAGATGGATCTCAAGAACCAAGAACAGCTGTAGCTACTCTTCTAAATCTCAGTTCCTGACATTGCCTCTCTTTCTGCCTCCTCTCCACACCCCCCAAAAAATGTGATACTCCTTGACCTGAAGGAGCTTCCATCCAAGTCTGTGAGTGCTCATCATTCCTGAAGAATCAAAGTATCATCTTCATCATCCCTTGGCTTGCAAGATGAACTCCAACATCAAAACACTTGAAACAGTAGTATTTTTACAGTTTACCCACTGCCTTTATATCTCACTTAGTCCTTCCAGTAACATTTGGATGATGAGGCAGCTTATCCAGAAGCACAAAGCCTAAAGAATGACAGAGCCTGGACTACTAAGAAATTCAGCTACTGCCAACCTTATGATAACCAAAAGAAGGCACACCAGAAGTTGGAAAGCAGCCTGGACAACGGAGAGAAACCCCCACTTCTACAAAAAAATTTAAAAATTAGTCCAGGCGCAGTGGCTCACACCTGTGATCCCAGCACTTTGGAAGGCTGAAGAGGGCGGATCACTGGAAGTCAGGAGTTCGAGACTAGCCTGACCAACATGGTGAAACCCTGTCTCTACTAAAAATACAAAAATTAGCTGGGTGTGGTGGCACACACCTGTAATCCCAGTTACTCCGGAGGCTGAGGCAGGAGAATAGATTGAACTCGGGAGTCAGAGGTTGCAGTGAGCCACGATTGCACCACTGCACTCAGCCTGGACAACAAAGTGAGACTCAATCTCAAAAAAATAATAATAATAAATTTAAAATTTAAAAATTAGCTGGGTGTGGTGGTGCACATCTGTGGTTCCAGCTACTGGGGAGACTGAGGCAGGAGGCTCCCATGAACCCAAGAGGTTGAGGTCACAGTGAACCATGAGCATTCCAGCCTGTGTGACAGAGTGAGACTGTCAAAAAAAAAAAAGCATAGATTCAGTGAAACTCCAATAAATTACTGAAAGGTTTTTTTCTCTCAAGTACATATGAATCTTCACTCTCTAGTATACTTGTGAACTGGCTGCAAGTCTGTGGCTCTTATTAAAATAATCTAAAATAACCCCATCTTTAAAAATAAATAAAGCCGGGCACGGTGACTCACGCCTGTAATCCTGGCACTTTGGGAGGCTGAGGTGGGTGGATCACCTGAGGTCAGGAGTTCAAGACCAGCCTGGCCATCATGGTGAAACCCCATCTTTAAATAAATAAATAAATAATCTAAAATAACAGGTAAAGTACATACTAAGGGCAACTAGGCAGGATGTTTATAATCCTAAATCAAAAATGCAAATGCCGCCAAGGTGTGGTGGCTCATGCCTATAATCCCAACACTCTGGGATGCTGAGGTGGGTGGATCACTTGAAGTCATCAGTTCAAGACCAGCCTGACCAACATGATGAAATCCCGTCTCTACTAAAAATATAAAAGTTAGCCAGGCATAGTGGCGGGCACCTGTAATCCTAATTAGTCGGGAGGCTGAGGCAGGAGAATTACTTGAACCCAGGAGGCAGAGGGTGCAGTGAGCCAAGATGGCACCACTGCACTCCAGCCTGAGTGACAGAGCCAGACTCCCTCTAGAAAAAAAAAAACCCGCAAAGAGGCTGGGTCTGCTGACTCATGCCTGTAATCCCAGCACTTTGGGATGCCAAGGCAAGAGGATCACTTCAGGCCAGAAGTTCAAGATCAGCAACATAGCAAGACTCCATCTCTACAAAAAAAAAATTTTAAGGCCGGGCGCGGTGGCTCACGCCTGTAATCCCAGCACTTTGGGAGGCCAAGGCGGGTGGATCACGAGGTCAAGAGATCGAGACCATCCTGGTTAACATGGTGAAACCCCGTCTCTACTAAAAATACAAAAAATCAGCTGGGCATGGTGGTGCGTGCCTGTAATCCCAGCTACTCAGGAGGCTGAGGCAGGGGAATTGCCTGAACCCAGGAGGCAGAGGTTGCGGTGAGCCGAGATCGCGCCATTGCACTCCAGCCTGGGTAACAAGAGCGAAACTCCGTCTCAAAAAAAAAAAAAAAAATTTTAATATTAGCCAGGTGTACAGCAGGGTGCAGTGGCTCACATCTGTAATACCAGCACTTGGGGAGGCCGAGGTGGGCAAATCAAGAGGTCAAGAGATCGAGGCCATCCCGGCTAACATGGTGAAACCCCATCTCTACTAAAAAATACAAAATTTAGCTGGGCGTGGTGGTGCGTGCCTGTAATCCCAGCTACTCGGGAAGCTGAGGCAGGAGAATCACTTGAACCTGGGAGGCAGAGGTTGCAATGAGCTGGGATCACACCACTGCACTCCAGCCTGGCAACAAAGACTCTATCTCAAAAATATATATATATATTAGCCAGGTGTGGTGGTGTGCACCTGTAATCCTAGTTAGGAGGCTGAGCCTAGAAGTTTGAGGGTACAGTGAGCTATGATCTCACCTTTACACTCCAGTTGAGCTATAGAACAAGACCATCTCCAAGAAAATTAAGTTGAGCAAACCAGACAAGAAAATACATAGTATATAATTCTATTTATGTTAAGTTCCACATTAAAAGAAGCTGTGGGGAGGTAGAATGATGCTTACTTTTGGGAAAGGGGGAGAGAAAATGAAGACAGCCGAGTGCAGTGGCTCATGTCTGTAATCCCAGCACTTTGGGAGGCTGAGGCAGGCAGATCACTTGAGGCCAGGAGTTCAAAACCAGCCTGGACAACATGGAGAAACCTCATCACTAAAAAAAAAAAAAGAATGAAAATGAAGATGACCAGATAGGCTTCTAAAAAGCTAGTGATATTCTGTTTCTTTGATCTGGGTTGAGGTTACATGTGTGTGTTCACTTTGTAATACGTTATCAAGATATTTTAGGCACTTTTCTGGGTATTCTTTTTTTTAAGATGGCATTTCACGATGATGGCCAGGCTGGTCTTGAACTCCTGACCTCAGGTGATCCACCCACCTCAGCCTCCCAAAGTGCTAGGATTACAGGCGTGAGCCACTGCGCCCGGCTTTTTCTGGGCATTATACTTAAAACTTTTTTTTTTTTTCTGAGATGGAGTCTTGCTCTGTCACCCAGGCTGGAGTGCAGCAGCGCAATCTCGGCTCACTGCAAGGACCTCTGCCTCCCAGGTTCAAACATTTCTGCCTAAGCCTCCCAAATAGCTGGGATTACAAGTGCCTGCCCCACACCCAGCTAATTTTTATATTTTTAGTAGAGACGGGGTTTCACTGTGTTGGCCAGGCTGGTCTCAAATTCCTGACCTTGTGAACTACCTGCCTCGGGCCCCCAAAGTACTGGGATTACAGGTGTGAGCCACCTTGCCTGGCCAAACATTTATTTTTTTAAAAATTGAAAAATTGCTTTGGAGCAAAGTAAGATAAACCCATGATTGATTAGGCTTAGATTTTTTTTTCTTTCCAAAAAGTAAAATGAACATAAGAGGCATTTTTTCTCTGTGGTTTGTTTTTGTTGTTGTTTTTTTTTGAGATGGAGTCTCTTACTCTATCCCCCAGGCTGGAGTATAGTGACGTGATCTCAGCTCGCCGCAACCTCTGCCTCCCAGGTTCAAGCTATTCTCCTGCCTCAGCCTCCCAAGTAGCTGGGACTACAGGCACATACCACCAAGCCTGGCTAATTTTTGTATTTTTAGTAGAGATGGGGATTTCATCATGTTGGCCAGGCTGGTCTTGAACTCCTGACCTCAGGTGATCCGCCCACCTCAGCCTGTTGAAGTACTGGGATTACAGGTATGAACCACCTCACCCAGCCTCTCTGTGGTTATTGTAGTGAGAACTTAATAAGTTCTTTTTTTTGAGACGGAGTTTCGCTCTTGTAACCCAGGCTGGAGTGCAATGGCGTGATCTCGGCTCACCGCAACCTCTGCCTCCTGGGTTCAGGCAATTCTCCTGCCTCAGCCTCCTGAGTAGTTGGGATTACAGGCACGCGCCACCATGCCCAGCTAATGTTT